ATATCATCTTCCAAAAGGTAAGACTGGAAATTGAGCTGGCGCTGATGAGCTGCAGGTGTCCTTCTCTGTAGCTCTACATGCTCTCTCAAGATAAAAACCGTAATCCTATTCTTTCAACGTGCGAGACAAGGTGATGAATCAAACGAAAATATTTTCCATTTCATCAGCAGCCTTTATTTCCATGTAGCTTCTTCACCAGGCTTCAACTCTCTGTGTGGAAAGAAAAAAATAGAGGGAAGAGACTAAAATTAGGATATTTGTTGTAGAACAATTACTAATAAATGTAATTAATTGTTCTACAATACCTTAATTTTGAGAGTTAGGTATAAATTTAACTTTCCTTGCAATCATCGTCAGTTAAAAATCTTTCAATACCAATAAGCTTCCTCTTTTCTTTCCAAAGATTCAAGGGATTGAGACCTCTGAACCCCCATTCATTTAAATGGCAACACAAAACAGCCAACCTCTAAGGCGTTAACAGACTTTTTACATAAGGGGATCCAAAAGGAAAAATTCTGCTTCTTTCAAATACAAAAATTCATTACTTCAGTGGGAAGAGAACTAGGTGTGAAAGCAGAGGGGATTTTTGCAATATGCTGAAGTACCAGCCCAACTTCACCAGCAACGGCACTAAGAAGAGTGCTAATGTAACAGTGGGGTGGATTATGTCATAAGCTTACTTTCTTACCCAGAACTAATTTAGGCGAGACCAGAGGGAAAAAAAAATCCACCTGCAAACTGATAACAACTGATAACTGATTCCTACTATCAGTCCATGCTATGCAGCATGATTTTTTTTCCCCTGTTGTTTCGGTAACCCTATGGTCTAATATAGAATTAGGAGAACTGCCACAGATGAAGCAGTGTGTTAAGTTACCTAAATTCTCCCTGAGAAGTCAGCCAGGAAGCCCAAACTGATCAGTGTATATAATCACATCCTTCAGTGAAGATACAGCAGTTGCCAACATAAATGTTAACTTTCAAAAACTCGGTTATTATTTTTAAATGACAGATTTATAAAAGTATTTAGTTAAAAAGTGCTGCGATAATTTTAAATTTAAGACAGAAGTTTGCTATAATCCACTGAAAAGTTGAAAATTAAAATTCAAGCACTGTGTTTCCCACCAAAGTTTTAGACTAAGAGGGACAAAGTAATGGCTTCCGCATTTCATGACTACGAACTTGGCAGCAGTTAATGATCCTTTCTTTCACGACTAAGATAGCTCCCAAAGCCCCAATTTTCAGAGGGCATTAGTGACCTAAATCCCTTCGTGAATGCTTGCTGAAATTTTTAGGGCTTTCTTCCCTTAGTATTTTGACCGCATCACCGATTTTTTTTTTTCATACTTAAGATTCCCAAAAAGAACAGAGAAGCACTTTGCAAAATAACTATATATATATAAAAGAGGCATCATAAAGCAGACCTTTTATATAACAAGCTCTTGTTTCTAAAGGCAGACAGTTTTTCATCATTCCTTCTGTCCAAATAGCATCCAATCACAAATCCTAAGGGAACAAGGATGTGAACCCAGTGATCACGCACAGCTTGGGCGAAATTCACCATGACTGCTAGAAAGAAAAGCGTAACAGGTAAGAGTTACTGATAAATCTGTACATGGAAACTGCTGCATACCTGGCAGCTTTAATCTCACTTACTAGGATCCTACAATGGCATAATAAACCTGAGGGCCATCAGACATTTCCTGCGAGAGACATGCTGTTCTCAAATCCATACACAGGTTTCTGAGAACTAAACCTAACTAACTCGGCCCTGGGAAATAGGATTTTATCCTAAAATGGGAGAGAAATAGAACATCTCTTTTAAGATATCCCTGGTGAAATAGTTCCATTTAAATGTTCTAGAGTAGTTTACCCATTAAAGTAACTCTAACGATACAGAAGTTTGCTGTTCTGTAAAACATTACAAATGCATTTATAACCTAAACTCCTGCAGATGGACGCTTTATTACCTGTAACAAGACTGAAAGATAAGCTGTACATTCAGTGGGGAATTGACAGATACGGAAGAAAAGACGCTTCTAAAATCCAGCAAGCTTTTTCCAACCTAACCAAAGCCTTCCAGATTAGCGTCGTGCTGGAAGTTGTAAGAGACACCAAGAAGTCACACAGCTGCGAGCTCAAAACTACATTCTAATTACAGAGGGCAGA